ATAACCCTTACTGGCCACTGCCCTTTTCTCCTTTATTTACAAACCTGGTTTCTACAAATATATTAGTTTATTGTATTTAATGAAGACTGTCTAACAAAACAATAACTTCTGCGTGAATGGTTGCCTTGTGATTCACTGCATGTGAACTTCCCTTTAAGCTAAATGAATGTTGCTCCATTTAGGCAAGGTGTAATTAAAAAGTCAACCCACAAAAATAGCAAAGATTAAGTATTACCATGTGCATGCACACATCCATTTGCTACTTATAGTGACAAGACAAGAAAGAAGGCTCCATGGACTCAAAATATCTCACCAGGTTACAAAAGGACCCAAAAGATCCCCTTGGATTACCAAGTCTAGCAAAGTGGGGAAGAAAGTCCACTTGCTTATGCTGAGTGGTTTGGATACAGCCTGGATGGCTACAGCAGTACCAGACTAAATTGAGAAAGCTCATGCCAGTTCATGGAATTTCAAACTTTTCTTAAAATGGGATTTTTATGTGAGTTTTATTCTGATTCTTCACAAAAGCAAGAGCTGTGGCCTGGGGAATAGGGACGAGGTCTGTGTGACGAAGCTACTCAGGAGCTGGATGCACAAAGCTGCAGGAAAGCACACAGGCTGCAGAAGGATGCCTGGGCACCAGCAGGCTACTACAAAACTGGTACCCAGGGAGGAGAAAGGGAGGAGAAAGCATGCAGAAAAGCCCCAGTATCCTTAAAGTGAGATACTAAGCTGCTGGGAAGGAGAAGAGGTAGACTTTCCCACCCTCGGAAATCAGAAATCTACAAGATTACAAGAGGACAGAGGCAGTGCAGCCTTCTTCACGTTTATTGGTGGTCATACTGCACCCCATGAAATACTGAAGTAGTCTTTCATAATCACGAATTTACCAGGCATACTTCACAAAAAGGGACTTTAAGAGGAGAAAAAAAACCCAACCCAAAACCCACAACAAAGCCCCACACAACAAACCCAGCAGACAGATCTATTCACAAAGATATTCTCAGATTATTTTGTACTAATCAGTTACACTAAATCATATCAGCCCCTCCTAAAAAAAGAAGAATTTTAAAGTACAAAAATAGAACCCCTAACTTAAAACTTCAGTTCACATCTATAACATAGTAGGATTAAAATGAAAGCGTCCTTTGCACCCCACACTCCCCTAATTCAGGTGACTCATGATATTAAACTCAACATCAGGTCTGAAAGACCCACCAGTTTGGTTCTTCAGTAGATTAACAGTGCTGGAAATTACCGAGTGTTTAATAAATAGTAATTCCTTTTTAATCAGTGGCACAATATTTGATGCTTTCATTAAAGAATGCAAGACTGTATGGAGAACTGTCAAGTAAAGCTGTAGGATTTAGTTGAATTCACATCAAGCTTTATTTATGTATGTGAATTTATATAAAGTGAACATAGTTATATGTGGAGAACTCTAAGTCCTCCATGTATATTACATTATTAATGTTGATGTCAATGAAGTTTTCAGCAAGATAAAGTCATGTCGGACTGTTCTCAACAAATCTGTTCCCCACTGAACTGAGGACACCCAACAGAAGGGCTCTGATATATCATCCTGTCTTTATACACTCCATGCACAGAACCAAACCAAGAAACTCACCTGTCCTCTTGGTCTGCTAAGTGTCTCTGAAAAGCCATCAGACAGAACCACCATGTAGCTAGCAGATGTTTCTTAGACATCTCTAAATGAAAAATTTTCTCTTTTTTAAGGTATGAGACTGATGAACGTGACAAGAAATAATCTGAAGAGTCCAAGCACAGTGGGAGGGAGCAGAAGACATGGCAGTGCTGAGAAGTGCATCCAGCTGCTGAGCCTGCAGGTACATCTGCAGTAGACGAACAGGATGAAAGATCAGGGAAGGTGTTCCTAGGCTGGATAAATTTGAGTGATGAGGGAAGTTTGCAAAAATAAATCAGAAAAAAACATGCTTAGATAAGATCAGATCTAGAGGAAAATAAGACAAATGAGGGAATCAAATCACAGTTGAGATCTCAGAGATGTGAAGAGCAAGTAGACAGAAGAGAGACAAAAACAGAGAAAGGAGTCAAACTATGATAGAAAAGTGGCATTAGGTCTAGAGTAAAAAGTTATGAACAGCTAGAATGAGAAAAGGTGTCAATGAGAATGTCGAGTGTGAAAACAAATAGTCTGACTTGAATACAGAAGGACAGACACTAATAAGGAAATTGCATATTACCATACAATTTTACAATTCCCCACAAAACCTACATCTGATTGGGAATCAGTCACACCACACCTAGGAGGGCCTGAGAAGTAAGTATGAACATTACAAACAACAATCAAGTAAAACATAGTATCTCTTCCAGTGATGGGTACTTTCAAAGGCTCCAAGTCAGACATTCAGAGGAACAGGGCAGTGAGCAATAGCACCTCACTGGTGCCAAACATGCTTTCCTCAGCTCAGATGCAGCCAGCTTCCCTTCCTTCAGCAACCAAATGCAAACATGAACGTTGTAGGTCTTGAGCAGGGCACCGTGGAACATAAAAATAGTTCTGCCTAGAACAAAAACCTGTCTCTACAGGCTCATAGCACAGCAGTTGAGAAGCATGAGATGCACCTTCCATTTCTTAATAGAACATCAAATCCCATGCTCAGCCAATTGCAGATTAAAACTAGCTTTCTTGCAGCTGTGCAACTAGCGATATGATTAAAGGAGCACATAAAATCCTTGCGAAAATACTTGTCAATTTGGGATTCTCCAGACACGGCCAATTCCCCAAAAAAGCCACAGTGCACAACACGTGGCAATATGAAAAACACAGCAGAAGACAGTAAAAAAAAAAAGTGCAAAATGCCCATAACTAAACTAATATCTATTGTGAATATGCAAATATGTTTTATTTAATTTCGACTCTTAAGCAACATTCAGGGGGAACACTAGAGAATTGAGCTGCAGGTTTAGAAGAGATACAGGTGTTTGAAATAGAAAATAATGGCTCTCTACATGTTAAATTGGAAGAAGAGGAGGCAAGAGCAGACACCAAAGAATGATTTTTCACCACGCTCCTTCCGACATGCATGACCTAGCTACTGTAGATAATGTTAAAAATCTTTTTGGGGTTTTTTTTTTTTTTTGGACCTTGCTGAAGTGCTGTCACAACAGCAGTCCAGTCAGATAAAAGGGCACTCAAAACTGCAGTCACACTTCAAGCTCACTAACCATTCTGTTATTCTCTGATAGTTTCCATTTTATTATTAAAAGGTTTTCACAAGGAAATGACTTATGTGTACACGGAGAAGCCTCTCTCCTGAAGAAGATTATGGCAATACATCAAACAAAAACCCCAAAGAAAGCAACTGGTTGCCCAAAAGAGCACAGTATGTTCCAATTCCCTGACTATTACATTTTCCCCATTTCTTTTTAACGGTAAATACATACAGCAAAAGAAAGGGGTGGAAACTACAGTGACAAATAGTAACAAGGAGAACTGCAAGGAAAGAGAGGTTAATTACAGCACAAGAAAAGACACAAGGAATGTGAAGTATGTCAGCAAGTAAATAAATCAATAATCTACAGTGATCATCTACATTCCTGAACGAACTTGAAAGCAAGGATATGTGCTCTTAACATTCCTGGCAAACAGAGGTTTTCAAGGAGGTCTCCCTCCACAGCTCTCTGTTTCTGTCAGCACCCTTGTGTCAATAGCTGATTACAAGGGAACCTTTCCGAAGGGAGTCTGTACTATCTCTTTTAACGGTTTTGTTAATACAAGTTTGTAAATACCTTGGACCAATCCAGAAACATTAACAAGTGTAATTAATGTTGTGATCTTTGCACTTACTTGAAAAAAAATATTCATGGTAATTGACAAACAATTGCAGGAATAATGCACTAGGTCTCCCCTCACGACCAGCTCTGCTCTCTAAAACATACCGGAGCCTATCAGCTCATATGAAATAAAAGCACAGATCAATAAAGGCAGAAGACTAATGTGGTTTTACAGATGTATTTCTTCACAGTGGTATCAGCATAATATAAGAGTCTTACAGAGGAAATGGAAGCTGAGCAATAGAGACAAGAGGACATAAAAGTCAGGACTTCTTAACAAGTTGAGAACATTCCATAATGTTAATGGGGAAAACAAAACAAAACAAAACCAACAAATGAATGAACTTCCCAAAAAACCCAAAATACTGAAACAAGAATACAACTAAAAATCAAGGATATGCCATCAAGTAACACGGCACAGCAGAAGTGCATCTGCAGAGCAAAATAGTGCTTGGTAAGAACTTTATCGACATCCACCCTATACACATTTCAGTCCTGTGAACTGAGCATCCACTAGAGGTTGAAATGAATAGTCTGTTTTAGTTTCATCAATAAAGGAATCTAGATCAACCTGTGGTGCAACCCAAAATATCATAAATGGGGAACAACAGAAATTCAGCTCAGAATTGAGTTGAATCCTGAGCCACTGCTAATACAGATTTACCTGAAGCTGCAATATGACTCTGATGCTATATGTAAAAAAGTCTTGTAAGTCCAGTATCCAACTCTGTCTCAAACAAACAGCAAAAAGAATGGGATGGGATGATTCCACATGAACACTGATGTTTTGTCTCAAGATGTAGCTGTAATTCTCCAAAAATTGCTTTGCCACACAAACCACAGAAAACAAAACAGTATGCATAATTACTTCTAAACTGGACTTGTTTGGCTTCACACATGCACAAAATGCTTTTGCAACACTTGCCTTTGCAAATGAAGCTGATACAATACAATTAGGTAGCTGCAAGCATCTTTTCATGTGATGCAAGAAATTTCTTAATGCTTATATGAAGTGCAGCAAATAGAACAAGATTGTTTTGAATGCCTTTTTACTGCCAAATGGGGGGACTCCCTCCAACAGACTTTACAATCATCTTTGAAATAAGCTAACTCACACCACATCTCTTAAAAAAAAAAAAAAAAAAAGAAGAAGAAGAAGAAAGACAGAAAAGCTACTGTACCTGTATGTTGTTCTTCAATCCAAGCTTGCAGATACATGAAGAGGAGTAGACCAGCTACTCCAAACATCAGTACAGACACAAAGACTTGTCTTAGGTTCATGACCCTATCAGAGGGCTACTTTTCAGCTTTCAGAAGGACACATGGCTCATTTTTCTGAAGTTTTCAGCATGCCTGCATCTTCTTCAGTAACTTGCCCCAACACGATGACCTGAAATAACAAGAGATGGAGCTAGTTCTCGCGTTGCATTTTTATTCCTCACCAGAGACTATGTAAACAGCATGCTATATACAACCTGGAGCTCCTACAAGCTATTACTTTCAAAGCTTAGATTTGTGTTGACGATCTCAACAATCTTTCATCCCCTGGATGAGTTCCAAGCTGAAGTGTTTCTCAAAGTGGCTGAAGACACCGTTCCACCTCCACACCACCAAACACCATCTGCTGCCATAACAGAGGGATGTGATGCCTCAGACGAGATGCCCAGGTGTCACACCAGTATACCACTGCCCACCAACCATCACAGCTGAGAAGCTACAGCAGCAGCTGGAGGTCCCCTGAGGCAGCTGGGTTGCACCCTGGTAGGTTCTGGGTTGCAGCCCCCTGCAATAGGCAAACCAGCACCTCTGCTTCTGGACCGTGCGACCCTGCGTGCCCGAGGAAGGATGCCTGCAGCCACCTCCACAACACAATGACTCCACTCCCAGTGCCTCTGCATCTGTTCAGCCTATGCTTCAGGGAGTCATACTCTGATGTTCACCCCCAAACATGAATCCAAATTGAGTTTTACAGGGTTAGGGAAGGTCAGCATAAGATGATATCAGTAATGCAGCAGAAAGGGAACTGATGGACCATCTTTTTTACTCAGCTATTTTGCAACATGGGAAAGACTTATCAACCCAGTTCTTGCCACTAACGTAAGTGGAGATGAGATCAAATGTAAAACCTTACCAAAAAGATTACTTTCTTGCACATCAGAAGGCTCAGAAAAAGGAAATAATTTACCTGATACCCTGCACCTGCCCCAAAGGGGCCATAAAATTCAGTTTATAACAGCAGAACATAGAAGACATTGTGGGTCATAAAAAAGCCATCTCTTTAACCTGAATCAGAAAGTGGTCACTTTGTAAGAGCGTTACTAGAACCTGAAGAACAGCTGTTGAAACTGGCCTGCACAGCAAGAGAAAAAGTGTTGAAATTCAACACAATGGACACCCTTGTAAGTGAGAATCTGATAGAAGTATCTGGCAAACCACCACAATGAATGCAAAGAAAAACTCAACCTTTTAAAGGAAGACAGCCTTCTGAAAAAATGTTTGAAAGACAAACCTGTTAAAAGAGCAGAGCTAGAGTACACATGCATCCAAATAAACAGAAAAAGAAAATGCAGGCATTTAACAGTTATTCTGAAACACACAAGTACTGTGTGTTCCACAAGTTCGGATTTTCAAATAACTCAGCACTGTTACATCTATACTTGCTGAGTTTCTAAAAATACACATACACATAAGGCTTAGCAGACACTCCCATTAAAAACAGTTATTGAATGAACAAAGCAACTACTAAGAGACAGATTTCAAGAACAACAAAACTGTGTTCAGAACTTTACAGAATTCTTTTTTTTCCAGTTCTGTGCCATGAAAATTATACATTTCTCTGTGAAACACAAACTTTCCTGCAGAGAATGTAAACCAGAGTTTAACTATTCATCATTTTGTATGTAATTCTCCTGCAGAAGACAGATAGCTAGACATTCACAGAACGTAAATGTTCTGTCTGAAGTCTTTTTTGCATAGCTCATGAAGTATCTGGTTTGAACCTGGAACACAGAAAGAAGGTATGTGCACTTTACTCCATCTATTTCTTTCTGCCTTGATTCTGCAGAGGTGTAATTTCCCACACATTATAGACATGTACCTATGCAGCTACTATGATACATGGGATTGGAAGAAAGCAGTAAAAAATGGGCAAAAGCAAGGAAAATGCTTGGGGAATTCTCTGTGAAATGTCTTTTGCAAGGGTGGGGGTATCAGGGCCTCCTCCCAGCCAGCTCTTCATTAGCTGTTATCACTTGCACCTTTTTCTACAGTGCCCTTGGCCTTCTCAGGCTTGTAGTCTTGTTATCTATGATACAAGTTTTACTTAGGTCTTTGCTCCCAGTCTTTGCACCTAACTTCAGTCCTGCAGCAAATGCACTGTTTCCATGTCTTCAGAAATCACTCTGCAGACAAGACAGAAGCTTCTCAGCATAAGCAACGCTTCAAGAACCATTAGACAAAGGACCAACGAACACAAACCTCTTCTGTTTTCCCCCAGGCAAAAGCTGTGTTGTTCATGTAACAGGACATCAACAGCATCTGGATTAGAAAAAAAAAAAAAAAGCCAAATAAATAAGACATGAAGGTCTGAATGAGTATCTTTGAAATAAAGAAATTAAATTGCAGGTAATAGAAAGAAAGAATCAGTTTCTTTTGGAAAAGTTGTTTGGGATTCGTAACTTTCTTATAATAAAGAAGCAAGCAATCCAGGCACACACAATGAATGGTGGCATGCTTCCAAATAAGCCCACTTGTGTGGCTTTGTCACTTGTTTCTATCTCTGACTACACAAAACTCTCGCATTTTCAGCCCTCCTTTCTGAAAACCAGAGTCCTTCCGTGGACAAGAAAAACCTTCTCAGCCCACATGGACGATGCTGAAAGGAAAGTATCTCACATCACATCTCCATTAACATTTCCAACACGTGTAGGCTGGCACTGCTGCTCTCTCCAGCCACTTGCTCTCATCACCCCTGACTGCCCAGCTCTTGCCACCACCATATCAGGGCTTACACAACTGCATAGTAACATTCAGAAAGCTCATCCAGCTAAAAACTGCTCCAGAAATAATGAATGAGGACCTTACTTCCAAAGGAAGTCAGGAACACTGGTTTGATCAAACTACAGCCCACAAAGGATTTACAAAAGGAATGGTGCCAACGGTTTTTCCTTTAGCAATACCAGCCATCGTATGCATCCATGATGTATGATGGCATAGGATATACAGCTGACCTTGCCCAAACACCATTATGGCTGCATGCAACACCACCTACAAGCCCTGTGTCATCACCTTTCAGATGTACAATTTAAACTGTGAATACGAAAACAGATTTTTCTTACTAGATTAGTTTCAATTATCATAGAATCATATAGGTTGGAAAAGACCTATAAGATCATGGAGTACAACCATGAAAGTGACACTGCCAGGTCCACCTCTAAACCATGTCCCTAAGCACCACATCTACACATCTTTTGAATACTTCCAGGGATGGTGACTCCACTTTCCTGGGCAGCCTGTTCCAGTGCTTATTAACCCTTTTGGTGAATAAGTTTTTCCTAATATCAAATCTAAACCTCGCCTGGTATAACTTGAGGCCATTTCTTCTTGTCCTATTGCTTGTTACTTGGGAAAAGAGACCAACACCTACTTCGCTATGACCTCCTTTCAGGCAGTTGTAGAGAGCGATAAGGTCTCCCCCCAGTCTCTTTCTCTCCAGGCTAAACAAACACAGTTCTCTCTGCCGCTCCTCGTAAGACTTGTCCTCTGGACCCTTCACCAGTTTCATTGTCCTTCTTTGGACATGTTCTAGCACCTCAATGTCTTTCTTGCAGTGAGGGGCCCAAAAGTGAACACAGTATTCAAGGTGTGACCTCACCAGTGCCAAGTACAGGGGGACAATCACTTCCCTAGTCCTACTGGCCACACCTTTTCTGATACAAGCCAGGATGCCCTTGGCCTTCTTGGCCACCTGACCACGCTGCTGGCTCACATTCAACCAGCTGTTGACTGGCACCCCCAGGTCCTTTTCTGCCAGGCAGCTTTCCAGCCACTGTTCCGCAAACCTGTAGAATTGCAGGGGGTTGTAGTGACCCAGCTGCAGGACCCGGCACTTAGCCATGCTGAACCTCATACAATTGGCCTCGGCCTATCTATCCAGCCTGTCCAGATCCCTCTGTAGAGTCTCCCTACACTCAAGCAGGAAGGAGCCTTCCTACCATCAACGATCCCACCCAACTTGGTGTGATCTGCAAAGTTACTGAGGGTGCACTTTATAAACTTGTCCAGACTGTTGATAAAGACATTAAACGGAACTGGCCCAAATACTGAGCCCTTGTGACCAGCCACCAACTGGATTTAATGTCATTCACCACAACTCTTCAGGTCTGGCCATCTAACCAGTTTTTTATCCAGCAAAGCATACACCTGCCCAAGCCATGAGCAATCATTTTTGAGTGGCCATACGCTCCTCAAAGGAAACAGCAGTTCAAGGTGCATTTTTTTTTAAACTACCAAACACACCTTGAAGCAAATTTACTCCACTATCCCTGTCACTACAAGTGTCGTTGTATGAAGAGTTTTCATGCTGCTTGCAATTAGTTTAATTTATTTAAATTTAATTTATATGAAACAGTATTCTTTTTTATATATTGGCTAAGTTTTAAGATGAGTTTTAATCAAGAGTAACACTACTTTTAATTAAGACTACCTGTTTTAGCACAGGTTAGACTCTAAATACCCACCCAAAATCTGAAGCTATTCTGCTGCCTTATAGGGCTTCTAAAGGCGTTTAAGCTTGAATAAGTAGTTTAATTTATTTAGCAGAGCGATTTGTAATCCACATATGAAAAAATGATACCAGCATTAAAAAAGTCTGTGTCTACAAGCCCTCTAGTAGAACTTGAAAAATGGCCATACACCACAGACAAATTTGTTCCGTTTGTATTAAAAGGCAATGGTCACGGATAATACTCTCTAGCATCCTGGCAAAGAGGAAATACCTCCAATTATTCTTTAATCAAGATGAATGCTCTCTTGTGTCTGGGAAGGAAGAGCCAACAAGCAATTACTTTTAACCTAAGTATTTCAGAAGAGATCAGCTGTATCTATACATAGGTTTAGCATTCCTAGTTAATCTGTAAATCTCTCTTTGCTCCTAGTGCTGGGCAGCATAGCCCCACTGGGCAATAACTTGACCATCCTGCTGGACAGGATGCTTGCTACGGGGAAACTAATGCAGCCTAAGAAACCGCTGTGTCCCTCTCACCTATGCTGAACTTTATTCT